TTCACACTGAAACCGAAAAGAAGCCTGTGCATGCGCATCGACTACCGAGCTCTCAACAAGCAGGCCATCAAGAACAAATATCCAATACCACGAATCGATGACCTGCTTGACCAGCTTCGGGGAGCTACGGTATTTTCAAAACTAGATCTGCGGTCCGGATACTGGCAGATAAGAATGGCGGACGATTCCGTTTACAAGACTGCTTTCCGAACTCGGTACGGATCGTACGAGTATTTGGTCATGCCGTTCGGACTCACCAACGCACCTGCAACTTTCCAAGCAGATATGAATCATATCCTACGCGCACTCTTGGTCGAAGGCGTGGTGGTGTACCTGGATGACATCCTCATCTACTCACGCGACATGCAACAATACATCGAGCACCTACGACGCGTCTTCGAAATTCTTCGACAAGAACGCTTCTACGTCAAACTATCCAAGAGCGACTTCGCCTTCGAGAAAGTCCAATTCCTCGGACATATCGTAAGCGCTCAAGGAGTTCACGTCGACCCCAAGAAAATCGAAGCCATTCGTACGTGGAAGACACCCGAGAACGTGAAGGAGTTACAGCAGTTCCTTGGCTTTGCTAACTACTACAACAGGTTCGTGCCACAATACGCGAAGATTGCCGCGCCACTCACGAATCTGCTAAAGAAGAACACGCCCTGTAAATAGGAGCTACAATACCAGGAAGCCGTGGAGCATCTGAAACAAGCACTCACGTCCGCACCCGCACTCATCTTGCCAGACCCCGAACGCGACTACGTCATCGAAGCTGATGCCAGCGACCAGGCAGTGGGAGCAGTCTTGATGCAAGACCAGGGGAATGGCCTGCAACCAATTGCCTACCTCCGCAAAAAATTACATGGAGCAGAACTCAACTACGCGATACACGACAAGGAGGCCCTTGCTATCATCATCGCCTTCAAAACGTGGAGATGTTATCTCGAAGGGCGCAAGACGACAGTCTACACTGACCATTGCAGCCTAAAATATTTGAAGACGCAACCAAGCCTCTCCAGGCGGCAGGTCCAATGGATTGACTTCCTCAAGACACACTTCCACTACGACATCGTGTACAAGCCCGGCCACAAAAACAAAGCAGACTCGCTTAGCCAGCCTGCACACGTTGCCGCCATCCAAGTTGAAGGGATGAATCCACTCTTCAAGGGACTCTTCATACACGGGTATACCATCGACCCAGAAATTCCCTTGGCAGAAAAGCGACATCTGCTACAGTGGGATAACGACATCGCGTACCGGAAAGGATCAATGAAGATCCCTAATTACTCTCCATTGCGCCAGTTACTACTCAAAGAATACCACGACGTCCTGTACGCGGGACACTTCGGTAGCAACAAGACGCTCACCGGTATCGCCAAACACTACTACTGGCCCCACATGGCAAATGACGTACAGAAATTCGTCACCTCGTGCACTTCATGTCAGCGGATGAAGAGCAGCAAGTAGGAAACGGCGGGTCTGTTGCAGCCTCTACATGTCCCAGAACAGCCATGGCAAGTGGTAAGCCTAGACTTCATCACCAGGCTACCAACTACCACAAGCGGTCATGACGCGATCCTCGTCGTCATTGACAAGTTCTCCAAAATGGGACACTTCATCCTGACACACACCACAGCACGCACCGAGGAGACGGCACAACTCTTTGTTCACTACATCATCTCACAACATGGCATTCCGACCACACTCATCTCCGATCGAGACCCTAAGTTCACCAGTAAATTCTGGAAAGAACTAATGTCTCTACTTGGGACCAAACTTGCCATGTTATCCGCTTACCATCCGTTGACAGATGGACAGACCGAGCGCCTCAACCGAATTGTGGAGCAAATCCTCCGTGCAGCCTGCAAGGACGACAACTCCAAATGGGACTTGCATCTGCCCGTCCTGGAGTTTGCCTACAACAATGCTATTCACGCCGCTACTGGACAGACGCCGTTCTTCCTCTGTTACGGACACCACCCACTCACACCACAACAGCCAACCATACCAGCCACAGTCCAACCCGCTCATGACTTCATCACGACCATGCACAAACTTTGGGATCGGACCCACAAGCGCCTTCTCGACATTCAGCAACAACAAAAGCGCCAGGCCGATCGCCACCGCACAGACCACACCATCACCGTGGGAAACCAAGTACTGCTCGACACGCGCAATCTTGATATCGGCCATCTCCCATCCAAACTGTGACCTCGCTTCCGCGGGCCTTTCCTCGTTGAAGCACAGGTCACTCATGTTACCTTCCGCTTACGCCTACCAGTTACCTGGAAGATTCACAACGCCTTCCATGTCCAACTCTTGAAGCCCTACAGAGATCCCAACACGGTGTTTTCTGGACGCCAACCGCCGCTGCCGCCGCCCGTCCTCGTCCATGACGAACCCGAGTACGAGGTCGAGTCCGTGCTTGCTCACCGCCGTCGACAGAATGGCACCGTGGAGCTTCTCATTCATTGGAAGGGTTATGATCCTTCAGAGGATAGCTGGGTCTCTGAATCCGAGATGGATCACGCTCGTCGTCCTCTTCACGACTACCTTGTCAAGCAGGGGGTTACGTCTACCACCCAGCTTTGAGGGGGGGAAGTGTGAGAGTACGACCCCGTTCCATTCCTTTCTCCTTTCCATTTCATTCCTCTTTCCATCTTGATCCATTTGGTTTTTATCTCATTCCATTTGGATTCCTATTTCTCCTTTTCCATACACCTTTGGTTTATCATGTTATTATGATTATATCACCGACCAGGCTCGGGATGTACTGGTGCGCTATATCTAGCGTAATCCTGCCGTAATCCCTTAAAGCCAATAGCCTCGCGTGGCTATACACAGGGTGATTCTATCTTCTAGAAGGGTCTATTCCCTTAGGATAAGATAAACCTGGTTACCTGATGTACTTTGGAAGTATAAAAGTGCCTTGTATCAATCGATAGTGCAACCTTTCCTCGACAGATTCGATCCTGTGACATCCGCCGTCGCAGCAGCCGCCGCCGTCGCTGCCGCAGCTGCAGCCGCCGCAGGGGTCCGCGAGCTCTTGGGGTGCGGACGTTGAGGAGGGTGCTAGTCCTGGGGTTATTGTCGTAGCTTGTCCCGGCGGTCCTGGGGTGGCACCGGTGCTGGAGAGGGTTCTCGTTCTGGGGGTGTTGGCGTGGAGCGTCCCATAGGTAGCCATGATGCAGCTGGAGGTTTTGGTGTCCGCGCGGAGCAGGAGCAGCAGCAGCAGCTGCCGCCAGTGTCCGTCCTTCGCCTCCTCGGTCTACCCTCCCCTGGCCACCTGTGTGCGTCTCCCCCACCGCCGCCTCCCCCGCCTGTCTTCAGCCCTGTGTTTCCTCTGCCAGACTTGTCTTTGGCTCGCTTCCCCCCTCATTCTCCTCTTATTTCTCCACCCTTGTCTCCTGACCTGACCCCACCCTTCTGCTGGTGGTCTCATCGTGCCTCTCGTGCTCATCTTGACTCTCCTGCTCTGCGTTCCCACGCTATGCTGCATCGTTCCCATATGTCTCGTCCTCCCCTCCTCCCGTCGCCTCCTCCATCGTCGCTTGTTGTCGCTCCGCCTCCTCTTTCTGACTTCCTTCATGTGGCTAGTCCTCTTGTTCCTCGTTTCCTTGCCTCCCTAGTTACACTGGCGGAAAGTATTGCCCGGATAAAATCCCCTTTTAGGTTCAAATAATGATTCGATTACATTTAACCGAGGTATCGTTGAATCTTCGAAGCTGTGTTGTAAGTACCGACTGCAAGTTGCATTGGGGTAACACCTTTGCGATTTGAAGGGGTCGCTCTAATAGCGTGGACAAGATTTCAGTTGCGTGAGTGCATCCAGACAGTTCCGGCCAAGCAGTGGACTAGATCCGTTTTCGAGTACCGCATTCTCTCCATAGTTTCTACCGCGAATTTCGATTAGTTAGAATAGATTTTATACCCGAGGCTTTGACTAGGCCAAGATGAGACCGATAGATGAGGCTCGTCGCGCCCGGATCATAACTTTGTTGCGTAGGGGGTACAGCACGAGGCGAATCGCGAAGGAGGTTGGCGTAGGGAAAAGCACAGTACACGATGTTGGACTCAAGGCGATTTCCGAGACTAGTCGCGAGGATGTGCATCCTTCAATGCCCACTGCTGGTCGTTTACGCATAATCACAAATAGAATTCGTCGTGGGATCGTCAGGGCGATTACTAGCGGCGAGGCGAAAACCTCGAGGCATGCGGCCCAGATCGTTGAATCCCAGCACGGCATTACGGTACATCCTAGGACGGTGCGTAATGCGCTCAAATCCAGCGGCCTTGTCGCAGTCCAGCAGCCTAAGAAGCCGCGACTCTCCAAGAAAAATATCCGCGATAGGCTGGAGTTCGCACGGGCCCACACTGATTGGACCATAGATTATTGGAGACGGGTGATCTGGTCGGATGAGACGAGGATCAGTAGGTTCTGCTCTGACGGCCGCGCGTACGCCTGGGTTCGTGAAGGTACGACTTTCCAACACCATCAGATCAAGCAAACCGTCAAACACGGGGGCGGCGGCTTGATGATCTAGGGATGTATGACGTATGAGGGGGCGGGTTTCATGTGCAAAATCAATGGTCGGATGGACGGGCCACTGTATCTGAGAATTTTGCAAGACGAGCTGAAGAATACACGCTAACCCCCTTGGATGTGATCTTTCAGCATGATAACGACCCCAAGCATAAGTCCCGTGTGGTGCAGCAGTGGCTTCAGGAGCAGGAGTTTGGGGTCCTGGAGTGGCCGGCAGGAAGTCTCGATTTGACCCCCATTGAGCATCTTTGGACTCATCTTAAAGGGGAGTTGGCTAAGCATGAGACACCTCCCACTGGTATGGTGGACCTGTGGGAGCGTGTACAAGAGGAATGGGAGAAGATCCCATCAGAGGTGTGCTCCAATTTGATCAACAGCATGCCCAGGAGGGTGAATGCACACATTAAGGCTAAAGGGCGGTGGACCAGGTACTATTTTAAGGGTTGTATAAGTTGCTGCTTCCGCCTGGAACTAATTGTCCGGATGCACCGTGATCGGTTGTGTCTGCGTTTTACTGTTAACGATAGTAGTTTCATCAAATGTGAAGCATTGTTTTGGGTCCATAGATTGGCCTGCATATAGTGGGTAAGGCCTCCAATTAAGGCTTAATGTACACATCCATTTAACGGCTGAAACTCTGAAAATTTCAAAACATGTGGACAATTCTTTCCGCCAGTGTACCAACCCGTCTATTAATGTCTCTAGTCTCTCAGCTCTTGTCGGTGCCGCCGTTGACTTTACCTTTACCCGGCGCCTTGACTACGCCACCGCTCTGGTCTCTGACCTTGCCTGTCCTTCGCCCGTGGGGGGTGCTCCTTCCCTTTGCAGTGACGTCTTGGAGGACCGGCAGTAAGAGCTTGCTTTCCTGTCCGAGGCTGCGCCTCATCTCTGCACCATGCTGCTAGTCCCAGAGGGTGACCCAGACGCCCTTAACATCCCGACCCCTTGCACTTACGCTGAGGCGACCTCGAGACCTAGGGCCTCTCAGTGGATAGCTAGCATGGACGTGGAGATGGCATCTTGGAGATCCACCGGCACCTACGTCGACGCAGTTCCCCCACCTGGGGTGAATGTAGTCGATGGCCGTAGGCTCTTCAAGGTGAAGCGCCCTCCTAGAGAGCCGCTGCTGTTCAAGGCGTGCTATGCTGCTAGAGGCTTCAGTCATCACGAGGGTGTTGACTTCTTTCAGACCTTTGCCCTGACCCCGAAGATGACTACTCTTCGGGCACTGCTACACGTAGCAATGCAGCATGACTATGAGCTGCACTCCCTCGAATTCTCTCTAGCGTTTCTTCAGGGTAGTCTGCAACAGCAGGTCTAACCCGCCAGGCTGGCACCTTTGCCCCTAAGACCTAGTGGCCCCTCCGGCGCCCGGTTTACGGCCTATGATAGACGCCCCACGAGTTGCACGACAAGCTCCGAGCAATGCTAGCTGACCTGCAGTTCTTTGCGTCTTGTGCAGACCCTTCCTCTTCGTTCGCTCCGGCCAGACTCCGTTCTACATCCTAGTCTACGTAGACGACCTGGACTTCACGAATGCAGACAGTGACGCACTAGCCTCGGTGAAGGCCGAGCTGATGAGTAGACACACATGCACTGACCTAGGAGAGCTACGCTGCTACCTTGGCCTGCAGATATCGAGGGACAGAGCAGCGCGCACCATCAATCCGACACAGTCACACTTGATGCGCTAGGTGCTTCAAAGGTTCGGTCTTCAGTTCTCCTCCGCATAGCCCACACCTCTGCCAGTAGATCACAGGCTTTTGACTCCAGTCCCTGAGGAGTCTGTAGAGCCAAGTGGTCCTTATGCAGAGCTGGTGCTTGCCTCATGTACCTGATGACTTGCACTCATCCAGATCTCGCATACCCTCTCAGCATCCTGGCCCGCTTTGTGGCCACAGGCAGACACCGACCACAGCACTGGTCGGTTGCTAAGAGGGTTTTGCGTTATCTAGCAAGTACATCGGGCATGGGGCTGGAGCTAGGAGGGCGTAGGCCAGTGGTCCTTTCAGGGCATTCAAACGCTTCGTGGGCACACGACGCTGAGACACTCAGGTCTTCCCAGAGCTACTGCTTTAGCCTTGGTCCAGGCGCCATCTCGTGGAGGTCCACCCGCTCGTCGTCTGTTACATAGTCTAGCTATGAGGCTGAGATCTACGCTGGTGCCATGGCGGCATAGGAGCTCCGCTGGCTGACCTTCTTGCTCACTGACTTAGGTGAGTGGCCTAGCTCTGCCCCAGACCTGTAGGCTGACAACAGGGCCATGATCCTCCTATGTCAGGAGCCTCGACTTGAGGGCAGAGCGAAGCACATCCAGCTGTGGTACCTCCTCCTGCCCGAGCTACAGCAGCGCCGTTAGGCCCGCGTAGTTCACTTGGCCTCCGGTGCCAACACAGCTGATATCTTTACGAAGGCGCTTGCGTCTAAAGATTATCAGTGACACTGTGTACAGCTTGGTCTAGTTCCTATAGCTTCTCATTTGCTAGGAGCTTGATTGTGTACTATATCTGCTATTATCTTGACTAGCCTTGTGGCTCCTGTTCTGTGGCTGGACTAGTAGTGCCGCCCTGGGTTACTCTTGTTTCCCTTGTACTCTTGTAGACTGGTCTTCAAACCCTTGCCTCAGAGGTTGGACTAGTAGTACCACCCTGAACTGCGTGCGTGTCTCTTGCTAGTCGTTGCCCCTTGTTTGGCCTAGGGGGTATGAAAACGTATTTGTACATGTTATAGGCTAGATAGGTGCATGCTCATAGAGAGTACGACACCTTAGGACACAACCACCCTCTATCACTCATTCGACCAAGCATTCAAAATCTGGTTATGTATGTTCCAGGGCGTAAGATTCATTTTCGGGTACGATGATTTGTCAGCCTCACCCCCCAAATTTAGGCTGATGCATCAGCCTTGCCCTTGGAAAAAAGGCTGAACTTTCAGTGTTGGCAAAAAAAAAATTGCTGATCAATCAGTGTTGCCTAGAAGAAAAAGTCTGATCCACACATTCAGCGGCGCTTTGTAGATTAGCGCAGGCTTTCAGTAACGAGGTTATGTCCTGGCTGCGCACTTGACATTCCGATGATTGGCTGGCATAGTGACAATTTTCTGGTCTAAGTAAGAAACACCTTCGATGTAAGCATCGATACTAGGAATTTGAAACCGACGGAAATGGGTGAAAGTGTGGCCGGCGTTGGGCTTTGGAATCGGGATGCAGCTGAAAGAAACCTTGAATATGCGCGGTTTTTTATGATTACCTTTCAGTCGCGGGGTTTTGTAGGTAACGTGTCAGCGTGGTGCCTGGCCCACACCGAGTCAGGGCGCATTCCTCACTGATGTGGCTGACTGTTTTGTGGCGAATTGTTTACGGTCGATATTCCAGCCTGAGAGATGGGAGACGATCGTGAGCGTCTGTAAGTTTGTGGCAAATTTCCTGCCACAGGTGAAGAATGCGCCCTCAAAGAACACCATCGCAGCTGGGAGGGGACACGTGTCGGCATGAGTTTTCCATTTACAGGTCTGTACTCTAGGTACCCTTGGTTGTGGGGAAGTGAAAGGGAGGTACAGTACGTGTGTGGCTGTGGGGTGGAGTGGAGACTCGGCAAATCTTCCTTGGTTGTGGGGGTATGAGAGGGGTGTGAGTGAGTTGTGAATGGTTGCAGGGGAATTCGCCAAAAATATGTCTTACGGGTGTTATGAGTGGGGTGCGGTGTGACTGGTTGCGGGGGGACTTTGCCAAAAAAATCTGGCATGTGGGTAGTCTGAGTTCGGTGTGACTGCCTGCGGAGGACTTAGCCGAATTTTCCGGGGTTACCGGTGGGTGTGTCTGACTGGGCGGGGGAGCCGGGCACATGACGCCGTACTCGGTTTCAGCGCCCCCCCAAAAACTTACAATGATGCTTCAGCGTACACCTTAAAAGAAAGGTTGAAAATTCAGACAACACACAAATAAAAAGGATTATTTTTCAGGGCCCACTTAAAAAAAAAAAAAAAAAAAAAAAAAAAAAGGCTGATTTTTCAGGGCCCACTTTAAAAAAAAAGGCTGAGTGTTCAGCCTTGGTACCAACAAAATGTCTGAAAAACCGCTGAATCAGCGAAAAAAGGCTGATATCTAGGGCCCTGGTGTCAAACTTATGTTGTTATGTTTGTATAGACTATAGGCTTGTATCTTAGAGGGTACAACACTTAGACTTATACTCTTGTACTCTTCTCTTCTCTTAATTCATTCAACTCTAAGATGGTATAATAGTAGGTAGGTCCCGCTGCTCGCTCACTCTTCCGCCCTAGGCCCTAGTCGCGCCGCCCCTAGCTAGTCGCGCACCCGTTTCTACCGGCCCCTCGTGCCCGTTCCTACCGGCCCCTCACGCTCGTTCTCGCTGGCCCGCGCGCCCGTTCCAGCCGTCCCCTAGCACCCGTTGCTGCTGGCCCCTCGCGCCCGTCGTAGCCGACTTTCGCGCCCGTACCTACCGGCGCCTCGCGCCCGTTCTCGCCAGCCTGCGCGCCCGTCCTAGCTGACTTCAGCGCCCGTTACTGCCGGCCCTGCGCGCCCGTCCTAGCCGGCTTTAGCGCCCGTACCTGCCGGCCCCTCGCGCCCGTTCCAGTCGGCCCCTCGCGCCCATCCTAGCCGGCCCTAGCGCCTTTTCCTGCCGGCCCCTTTTGCGCCTGTTCTCGCTGGCCCGCGAGCTCGTTCCAGTCGGCCCCTAGCGCCCGTTCCCGCTAGCCCCTCGCTCCTGTCCTCGCCGGCCCGCGCACCCATTCCAGTTGGGCCCCCCTCGTGCCCGTTCTAGTCAGCCCTCCCTAGTGCCCGTTCTCACCAGCCCGCGCGCCCGTTTCAGCCGGCCCCTAGTGCCCGTTTCAGTCGGCCCCCTAACGCCCATTCCGGCCGGCCCGCGCGCCCGCTCCAGTCAGCCCCTACCGCCCGTTTCAGTCGGCCCTCGAGCCCGTTCTAGCCAGCCCCCTAGCGCCCGTTCCTGTCGGCCCCTCGCGCCCACGCCAACCGGCCCTTGCACCCGTTCTAGTCGGCTCCCCCGCGCCCGTTCTAGCCAGCCCCCCACCTGGCGCCCGTCCCAGCCGGCCCCTTAGTGCCCGCTCCAAGACCGGCCCCGCTCCCGTTCCTCGTCAGCCTACCCAGTTTGTCACCGCGCACCGCACTGCACCGCACAGCACCGCACTCCACCGCATAGCCCCGCACTCCACCGCATAGCACCGCACTGCACCGTACAGCACCGCACTGCCCTGCACAGCACTGCCCTGCACCGCACTGCCCTGCACCGCACTGCACAGAACTGCACCGCTGCTGCAGCGCTCTTGATGGCGGACGCCGTGCTGCGCTTCGACGCGGAGGGGCAGCCGCTTGAGTTCGACACGTGGCTGGTCGACCTAAGTCGTCATCTCACTGGTCAGCGGCAGGACGGCCACTCCCTGGCTGTCCACCTTGACGAAACGCTCCCCTGCCCTGACCCCCCTGCTCCCCTGCCCGCTGAACCCTCGTCCGCTGACCGTGAGTCCGCCGCAGCTGCTGCCCTTGCCCGCTCAGCCTGGCTGTCGCGTGATGCCGTCGCGCAGCTTGCGATCAGTCATGCCCTCCCCCTGTTTGAGAGTCCCCGCTTAAGGTGAGTCACGACTGCGCAGGAGTTTCTAGATGCCGTCGTCAAGCGCTATTCCACACCGCCCACTGCCTCTGTAGGTCGCCTGATCCTATCAATGCCCTTCCCTGGCCTTGCGCCTTTCCCTATTGTCGCTGACCTTACCGCTCACCTGCGCACGATAGACGCGACCTTGCGTGCTACCTGCACTGAGACCCAGCTTAGAGCCTTTCAGCCGCCCCTCTGCTCTACCCTCTACCTGCTTGCTACTGCCCGCGACCGCTTCCTTAGCATCCACCCTGGTGACCTCACCCTCACTGACTTTGTGGACACCCTGACTGCCGTAGAGACCCGCCTGCGCTCTATCGCCCAGACCAGCGGTACTGTGCCGGTCCCTATCTTTCAGGGTTGTGCCCCCGCTCAGTGCACCTTCTCCGACGGTTTTGCTGCAGTGGCTGAGTTTGCAGCTGCAGCGCAATTCCATGCGGGGAAGGGTCGCCGCCCCAAGGTTGGGCGCGGCGGTGGGGGTGGCGGTGTAGGTGGAGGTGGTGGTGGAGTCAGGTCGCCTGGTGGTAGCGCTGACGAGGGGACCCTGACAGGTGCAGCCGAGCAGCAGTCTTAGCAGCCGCAGGTGTCGCAGCCGGACCAGCACCAGCTGCAGCAGCAGCCTTGGCACGAGCCGCAGCAGCCACAGCAGTCGCATCAGCTGCGGCAGCAGAGGCAGGCGAGCGGTCTCCCGCCCGGGTGGCCTAGCGCTAGTGGTGGCGCTGGTCGTAGTGGTCGTGCGCGTGGTGTGCTGTCGGGTGGCGATTCGAGTGACGGACGTTGTCAGTACCAGCTCCAGGCCGGTCCTCGCCGTGGCTTCGTTTGCGGTAAGATCCGTCACACCTCCGTCCGCTGTTTCTGGCGCCTGGACGACCTGTTTCGTCAGCGCTTTGGCCCGTCGCCAGACCTCCCTGACCGGCACAACTCGCTTTGCCGTAGTGTTCAGATATTTGATATGGACATGGATGAGATTGTTTCTGCCCTGCATGTGCTGTATGCTGATGACTCTAGTGTTACTGTTCCTTATTACCACTTGTTGCCTAGTGTAGGTGTGTCTAGTCGTGCCTCCCCTGCTGCATCAGGCGTAGGATCCCCTGCTTTGTTTAGCCTTGGTTCTTCCGTCGCTGCTAGGATCCACTGGTGTCCCCCTCACCACGTTCCCCCGGGACCCAGTGTCCGGCCTGTTCACGCTGGACACCGCGACCCCACTGGCTGGGACGTCTCCTCAGGTGGCGACGTCTACCCCAGTTGCTGCAGCCTGCTCCTGTCGGTCGCTCACTCACCCGACACTCCTGTGGCACCACCGTCTAGGTCACACTGCACTCCCGCGTCTGCATCACATGTCATAGCACGGTCTTGTCCTAAGTCTCCCAGAGTCGTTCCCGGAGTTGCCTAACTCCCTCGCACCACCGTGCACGCCCTATGTTGAGGGCCGGCACCGTTGGGCCCCTCACTCCTCCTTGTTCCCCCCTACTACCGCACCGCTACAGACCCTGCACATGGACGTCTAGGGCCCCGCCCCCATCCATGGGCCACGTCGAGAGCGCTACTTCTTTGTGCTTGTCGATGACTACACGCGCTACACCACAGTATGGAGCGGAAGGCCGACGTGCCTGACATTCTCATCCAGTGGCTTGTCTCCGCGCGTGTCCCCCGCGGTCTCCCTGTCTTGCGTCTCCACTCCGACCATGGTGGCGAGTTTCCCTCAGGTGTCCTTGGTCGCTTCTGTCGTGCGGAGGGCATCACCCAGACGTTCACCCTGCCAGACTCCCCGCACCAGAATGGAGTCGCTGAGTGACGCATCGGTTTGGTCATGGAGGTGGCCAGTACCTCCATGATCCATGCCGAAGCACCCCATTCCCTGTGGCCGTTCGCTGTTCGCTTCGCCGCTCACCAGCTTAACCTGTGGCCGCACCCCTAGCAGCCGCAGGTTTCGCCGACCCTTCTGTGGTCCAGGTCTCCTTGTGACGGGTTTACGTTTCACGTCAGGGGCTGCCTTGATCACGTTCGTGCCTCTGGCACAGACAAGCTCACTGCCCACACCCTCCCTTGTGTCTTCCTCGGTTTCCGACAAGCACTTTTACCACCCGCCGTCTCACCGGTTCTTTCATTCCCGTGACGTCACCTTTGACAAGTTCGTCTCCTTCTACCGTCCCTTCCCATACCGTGGTCCCCCGGTGACCCCCCCCCTTTTCCTGCTCCCCCCTTCCTCGAAAGCCCCTGCCCCTCCCCCTGCCCCTCTCCGTCTTGCCCCGGCTGGTGTGTCTCACGTCACCCCCCTCACGTCGGTTGTCCCCGTCGAGGATTCTGCTAACTCTGGTGGCCCTGCGGCGTAGTCCTCGCTGCCTACCCCTTTCCAGGTGTCTCCCCCTCTGCTGCCTCCGCAGCCGCCGGCGCCGCCGCCGTCGCAGCCGCTGTCACCGCCGCCGCAACCGCCGCAGCCGTCGTTGCAGCCACCGCCGCCGCAGCCATCGCAGCCGCCGTCGCGGCAGCAGTTCGTTGACTCCGGGGGTGCTGGAGATGGGGTGGGTACTAGTCCTGGGGCTCCTGTCGTAACTTGTCCCCGCGGGCCTGGGGGTGGTACTGGTGCTCGAGAGGTTTTGGGCTCTGGGGGTGTTCCTTCTGAGCGTGCTGGAGTGGAGTGTTCCGGAGGTAGCCGTGGAGCAGCTTGCCGTCCCGGTGTCGGTGTCATGCCGCCGCAGCAGCAGTCACCGCCGGTGTCAGCCCTTCGCCTGCTCGGCCTTCCGTCTCCTGACTCGCGTCTGTGCCTCTCCTGCCGTCTCCTCCCCTTCCTGTCTACGGCCCTATGTTCCCTCCCCCAGACTCGTCTCTGGCTCGTCTTCCCCCTCGTTCCCCTCCTATGTCCCCTCCTCCGTCTCCTGACCCGACACCTCCGTCTCACGTCTGGTCTCATCGCCCCTCCCATACTCGCCCCGTCTCCCCTGCCCTGCGCTCTCATCCTATGTTGCATCGTTCCCACGCGTCTCGTCCTCCCCTCCTACCATCGCTTCCTCCGTCCTCCCTTGTTGTTGCGCCTCCCCCTCTGTTTGACTACCTTCGCACCGCTCGTCCTCTTGTTCCCCGGGTCCTTGCCTCTCTCATTACCGACCCGTCTGTTCCGGTCTCGTGTCTTGACACTCTTGTCGCTGCGGTCGCTGACTTCGCCTCTACCCGCTGCCTTGACTACGCCACCGCTCTGGTCTCTAACCCTGCATGTCCTCCGTCTGACGGGGGTGCTCCTGCCCTTGGCTGTGACATACTGGAGGACCGCCAGTACAAGCTTGCTTTCCTGTCCGAGGCTGCTCCCCATCTCTGTCCCATGCTGCTAGTCCCTGAGGGTGACCTCGACGCTTTCGACATCCCAACCCCTCGCACGTACGCTGAAGCGACCTCAGGACCTTGGGCCTCTCAGTGGATAGCTGCCCTGGAGCAGGAGATGGCATCTTGGAGATCCACCGGCACCTACGTCGATGCAGTTCCCCCGCTTGGGGTGAACGTAGCCGATGGCTGCTTCTCTTCAAGGTGAAGGCGCCCTCCTGGAGAGCCGGCTGTGTTCAAGGCGTGTTACGTGGCTAGAGGCTTTATTCAGCGCGAGGGCGTGGACTTCTTTCATACTTTTGCCCTGACCTCGAAGATGACTACTCTTCGGGCACTGCTACACGTAGCAGCACAGCGTGACTACGAGTTACACTCCCTCGACTTCTCTACTGCGTTCCTTCAGGGCAGCCTACACGAGCAGGTCTACCTGCGCCGACCTCAGGGTTTCACTAGTACCTTCCCTCCTGGGAATCAGTGGCTCCTGCAGCGTCCTGTCTACGGCTTGCGCCAGGCGCCCCGCGAGTCGCACGACACGCTGCGTGCTACCCTTGCAGACCTGCAGTCCTTTCCGTCCTCCGCAGACCCTTCGCTCTTCGTTCACTCTGGCCACACTCCGTTCTACATCCTTGTTTACGTAGACGATCTAGTCTTTGCCACTGCAGACACCACCGCTCTGGCCTTTGTGAAGGTTGAGCTGTTGAGGAGACACACCTGCACTGACCTAGGAGAGCTGCGCCACTACCTTGGCATGCAGATCTCCAGGGACAGAGAAGCGCACACCATCACTCTCACCCAGTCACACTTGGTGCACCAGGTCCTTCAGAGGTTCGGTCTTCAGTTCTCCTCTGCACAGCCCGCACCTCTTCCAGTAGGTTACAGGCTCTCTGCTCCAGTTCCTGAGGAGTCAGCAGAGCCCAGTGGTCCTTACGCAGAGCTGGTGGGTTGCCTCATGTACGTGATAACTTGCACTCGTCCAGATCTCGCATACCCTCTCATTATCCTGGCTCGCTTTGTGGCTACAGGCAGACACCGACCTCAGCACAGGTCTTCAGCTAAAAGGGTTTTGCGTTATCTCGCGAGTACATCAGGCATGGGGTTAGTGCTGGGAGGACGCAGGCCAGTGGTCCTTACTGGACACACAGACACTTCCTGGGAAGACGACGCAGAGACCATCAGGTCCTCGCAGGGCTACTGCTTTAGTCTCGGTTCAGGTGCTGTCTCGTGGAGAGCTACTCGCTCCTCGTCTGTTGCCCAGTCTAGCTGTGAGGCCGAGATTTACGCGGGTGCCATGGCGGCACAAGAGCTCCGCTGGCTGACCTTCTTGCTCACTTACTTAGGTGAGCGGCCTAGCTCTGCCCCGGTCCTGTACACTGACAACTGGGTCATGATCCTCCTATGTCAGGAGCCTCGCTTTGAGGGCAGAGCGAAGCACATCTAGCTACCTCCTGCGCCAGCTACAGCAGCGTCGCTAGGCCCACGTAGTACACTTGGCCTCTGGTGCCAACACAGCTGATATCTTTACTAAGGCGCTTTCGCCTAAAGATGTGTACAGTAGGCCTTGTTCCTGTAACCTCTCACCTGCTAGGGCCTTGACTATGTATATTTTATCCTTGACTGGCCTTGTGGCCTCTCCCAGTGGCTGGACTAGTAGTGCCGCCCTGGCCTTGCTCCTACACTGGTTCGTACTTGTTTGACTGGTCTTTAGACCCTTGCCTGACAGGTTGAACTAGTAGTGCCACCCTGAGTTGCCGATTCTCTCATCGGGAACTGCACCTATGCAGTCTAGGGGGTGTGTCAAACATATATTGTTATGTTTGTATAGACTGTATAGGCTTGTATCTTAGAAGGTACAAGCACAACTCTTAGGCTTACCGTAATCCCCTAGATAATGGACACGTCGTTAAGAAAGTCCATGGGTCCTTTACCCGGGGGTGGGATCATTTATTTTGGCAGACCCCGTGAGGACCCGCTTTTTGGCATTTAACATTTTAGGACCCCCCAGCTGTGTTTTCTTGTAGGATCTTGCAATGTAGGAAGAGAAACTGCTGCTGATGCTTTTACTGTACGGTTGGTGCTGGCAACAGGTCGGCGCTGCATGTTCTTACAAGCCTCTTCCCAGCCTCCTCTTCCCCAGATTCGGCCCTCAACTAAGAGCGTGATCGAAGGAACGTTTTTTCAATCCAATTCGTTTCAGAATCGCATTCTCAATCGCAATGAATCATCTCGCGTCAAACTCACACTGTACACATTTGCGCTCGTCTGAAAATATGCGCCTGAAATCAGGTTTGGAAACACACCTTGAATCTCGATAACACCACCCGGAACCGCACTAAACTGCTTTGCGTCACAATTATGCGACACTGTGGCGAGCAAGTCTAGGAAAGGGTTGGCTGGGAAGAGGCCGCAGGAACACACTCTAGCAGCATGGGTGACGGCAGTCAAGATGCCATCGCGCCACGCCAACACACGAAATTAGATGCGTGTCATTCTGGTGGTACAAGAGGGTTCTGTTTCCGCGGTCCAAATATAACTCCCTATGTAGAAAGGCTGTACATCCAGCACAATAGACACTTACGTGAAAAATATGTCAACACGGGTCCTAATAATTTCCATCCACGTTAATGTCCACCTTGATACTTTTTCCAGTAATTCTGAAAACACCATAGGGTCCAATAGCCAGGGGATTACGGAATACTCTTGTACTCTTCTCTTCTCGTAATTCATTCAACTCGAAGACCTAGTATGTTCATTCTTGCGTTTCGAATTTTCAGTACAAGCCAATTCTTTTTCCCAGGTGAATATGGTATTGGGTGAATACGTTGTCAACTTATACATATGCTGTATGTAGAAGTTATAGGCTAGCATAGGTGTGTGCTTCTAGTGAGTACAACCCCAACAGGTACATGTTCTAGGTTTCACACACTAGTCATTCATTCTCTCTTTCTAATATGGTATCATGAGTAGGTTAGGTTCCGCCCTATGCCCTAGCCGCCCTCGCGACCCGCCCCTAGTTGGCCCCCTGGCCGTCGCGCCCGCCCCTAGCCGGCCCCCTGGCCGTCGCGTCCGCCCCTAGCCAGCCCCCTTGCAGTCGCGCCCGCCCCTAGCCGGCCCCCTGGCCGTCGCGTCCGCCCCTAGCCGTCGCGCCTGCCCCTAGCTGGCCCCCTGGCCGTCGCGTCCGCCCCTAGCCCGCCCCCGGGCCGTCGCGCCCGTCCGTAGCTGGCCCCCTGGCCGTCGTGTCCGCCCCTAGCCGGCCCCCTGGCCGTCGCGCCCGCCCCTAGCTGGCCCCCTGGCCGTTGAGTCCGCCCCTAGCCGGACCCCTGGCCGTCGCGCCTGCCCTTAGCTGGCCCCCCTGGCCCTCGCGCCCGCTCTTAGCTGGCCCCCTAGCCGTCGCGCCCGCTCCTAGCCGGCCCCTCGGCCGTTTGCGCTCGCTCCTAACCGGCCCCATGGCCGTTCGCGCCCGCTCCTAGCCGGCCCCCTGGCCGTCGCGCCCGCTCCTAGCCGGCCCCCTGGCCGTTCGCGCCCGCTCCTAGCCGGCCCCCTGGCCGTCGTGCCCACTCACCTGCGCCCCCTAGAGTCTCGCTACCGCACTGCTAGCACTGCTGCCCAGCTCACTGCGCTCCCTCCCCCGTTCTGCATGACCCTCTACTTCATCGCCATGCGCCTGCCTGACCGCCTTGTTAGTGCACGCGACTACATCCTTAGCCAGCACTCGGGTGATCTCACCCTGCCAGCCTTTGTCACCGCCCTGACCGAGATCGAGACTCGCCAGCGCACTATCGCTCAATCGAGCGGTGCGCCGTCAGTCTCTATCTTTCATGGTTGTGCCCCCTCCCAGTGCACGTTTACTGACGTTTCGGCTGCGGTCGCCACTGTGACCCCTCTGACCGAGATTGCAGCTGCGGTACACCAGCATCAGCGCTCGCGCCGCGCCGGTTGTGGCCGCCAGGGAGGGCGTGGTGGTGGAGCTGGTGGTAGTCGTGGTGGTACCGGGGACAGTGGTTCTACTGAGGGGACTGCCTCAGCTAGTCAGGAGCAGCTGCCGTCGCCCAAGCAGCAGGAGCAGCCGCAGCAGCCGTCGCAACAGCTGTCCCAGCCCCAGCCGTGGGCTCATCTCCCTCCGGGTTGGCCCGGCACCTCCGTAGGTGGTGGCCGTGGTGGCGGCCCGCGCAGCTTGGCTACCGGCAGCTCCGTTGGTGTGACCTGCCGGTACTAGCTTCAGACCAGGCCTCTCCGCGGCACTCTGTGCCGCCGCCCGCACCCAAACGTCCGCTGTTTCCGCCGCCTCGACGATCTCTTTCGTCGTCGCTTTGGCCCGGCCCCGCACCTCCCCGACTGGCACAGCCTGCTCTACCAGGGCGTGCCGATCTTTGATTTAGATATGGATCAGATACGTGCTGCTATGCATGCCTTGTATGCTGACGCTTCTAGTGTTGCTTGATCTTATTACCCTGTGTACTCTACTTTAGGCGTAGCACCTTTGTATAGCTTAGCCTCCCCTGCTGCGTCACGCGTAGGACTGCCTAGTTTGCCTAGCCTAGTTTCTGCACCGGCTCTGTTCCCGGCCTCCGCTACTGCCTCGCTGTCCTTCACTCTCGACTCCAGTGCTTCTGCATGTTTCTTCCGCGACCGCTCCACGCTCACGCCGCTTGCTGCGCCTGTTGTTGTCGCTCTCGCTGACCCCTCCGCGGATCCTGTCGTCGCTCGCAGCTCCACTTCCCTTCCCTGTCCAGCCGTTCCCTCGGGCTCTCTTACAGGCCTCCACGTTCCCTCGTTCTCCCGGAACGTGGTTGGTGTCGGCCGTCTTCAGGACCTCGGCGTCACCACTACGTTCCCTGAGCACGAGCGGTTTGCTGTCTGTACCGAGGCAGTCTCAGGTTCCCACCTTGCGACGTTCCCCCTGGACCCGGTGTCCGGTCTGTTTACCCTCGACACCGCTTCCCCCCCGGTTGGTGCGTCCTCCCTGGTTGCTGCAGCTTGCTCGTGTCCGTCCCTCACACACCTGTCCCTTCTCTGGCACCACCGCTTAGGTCACCCTGCTCTCCCGCGCCTACGTCACATGTCTCCGTATGGTCTTGTCTTAGGCCTCCCCGATTCGCTCCCCGCACTTCCCCCCTCGACTGCGCCACCGTGCACGCCTTGCGTCAAGGACCGGCTCCGCCGTGCCCCTCACTCCTCCTGGCTTCGCCTTGCTACTGCTCCCATTCAGACCCTGCACGTGGACGTTTGGGGCCCAGCCCCCGTCCCCGGACCGGGCGGTAAGCGCTGCTTTCTTGTGCTCGTCGACGACTACACGCGCTACACCACGGTGTCTCCCCTGGAGCGGAACGCCGACGTGCCCGACATTCTTCTCCCGTGGGTTGTGGCTCCGCGTCTTCACCGCGATCTCCCCGTGTTGTGTCTCCACTCTGACCGTGGCGGCGAGTTCGCCTCTGGTCGGCTTGGACAGTTCTGTCATGCGGAGGGCATCACCCAGTCGTACACCTTGTTGGACTCGCCACAGCAGAATGGGGTTGCTGAGCGCCGCATCGGCTTGGTCATGGAGGTTGCTCATACCTCCATGATTCATGCCGATGCCCCCCATTTTCTGTGGCCGTTCGCTGTCCGCTACGCTGCTCACCAGCTTAACTTGTGGCCACGCTCCCAGCGGCCACGGGTTTCGCCGACCCTCCTTTGGACCGGGTCCCCCGGTGACGCGTCTGCGTTCCACGTCTGGGGTTGCCTTGCTCACTTTCGTGCCTCTGGCACGGACAAGCTCACTGCCCGCACTGTCCCCTGTGTCTTCCTCGGTTTCCCCCTGGACTCGTCTGACTGGCTGTTCTTCCACCCGCAGTCTCACCGCTTCCTTCACTCTCGTGACATCACCTTTGACGAGTCTGTCTCCTTCTTCCGTCGCTTCCCTCACTGAGGTCTCCCGGTTCACCCCCCCTTGTTCCTGGCTCCCTCTCTCCCAGTAGCCCCTGCTCCCCTCCCGCCTCGTCGTGCCCCGTCTGGTGTCTCCCATGTCACTCCCCTCCCGTCGGTTGTCCCCGCTGAGGTGTCTGCTGACTCTGGTGGTCCCCCCGGCCCGTCCTTGCCTAGTCCCCCTTCCCCAGTGTCTCCGCCTCCGCTGTCGCAGGTGCCGCCGCCGCCGCCGCCGCCGTCGTAGCCGTCGACGCCATCGCCGTTGCCGCCGCTGCTGCCACTCTTGGCCTCTCGGGGTGCTGGCGTTGAGGAGGGTGTTCGTCCTGCGGCCCCTGGCGTGGTCTGTCCCAGCGGGCCTGGGGTTTCCGCCAGTGCTGGAGGGGGTTCTCGCTCTGGGGGTGTTTGTTCAAGGGGTGCTGCTGTTGAGTGTTTTCCCAACGGCCGTCGTGCCCCTGCCGGTCCGCGGGTTGAGCACAAGCCGCCGTTGCAGCCGCCGCAGACATCGCCGCCGGTCTCCGCTCTTCGCCTGCTCAGCCTTCCCTCCCCCGACCACTTGCCGGTGTCTCCCCCACCACCTTCTCACCTTCCTGTCTCTGGCCCTGTGTTCCCACCGCCGGACTCATCTCCCGCCCGTCTTCCTCCTCGTTCCCCTTTTATGTCCCCTCCGCTGTCTCCTGACCCTACACCTCCGTCCCACGTTTGGTCTCGCCGTCCCTCTCGTGTTTGTCCCGTCTCTCCTGTCCTACGCTCCCACCCTATGTTGCTCTGTTCCCACTTGTCTCGTCCTCCCCTCCTCCCGTCGCCTCCTCTCTCGTCGCTTGTTGTTGCACCTCCCCCGCTGTCTGACAACCTCCGTGCCGCTCGTCCCCTTGTCTCTCGGGTTCTTGCCTCTCTTGTTACAGACCCGTCTGTTCCTGTCTCGCGCCTTGATGCGCTTGTCGCGACTGTCGCTATATTCGCCTCTAACTGCAGCCTTGACTACACAACCACTCTGGTCTCTGATCCTGCCCGTCCTCTGTCCGTCGGGGGTGCACCTTCCCTTGGCAGTGATGTTCTAGAGGACCGGCAGTACGAGCTTGCTTTCCTTTCCGAGGCCGCTCC